TGGCACAGTCCCATTAAAGAAAAGCCTTTCAGTCCACCAATCAAGATCCTTAAATCTTTCTTTCCTCAGGAACAAATTTATGCAGAGATTGAATCACTGAATGCTGAATCTTCAGAAGATAAAGAAATTAAAAATAGGGAATCTGTTGATGATGATCAGGTGTTTACAGAGCCAGTGAGTGAATTACAGAATGACAATTTATTGACTCAAAGTGATTCTCCAAGGAGTGCTTCCTCACCAGAATCAAAGGTTAAACATGTAGTTTTGGAAAATCTGCTTACAACAAAGGAGAGCCAATTTTCTTTCAGCAAGTACTTGATAACACCAGATAAATACGCTTCTGCACCCAAGAAACACTTATCTTTATCTCACAATGGAAAAGAGAATGTGGCGTCAAAAAGATGTTTAGAACAACAAAGTGAAGTTCCTTTGTTAGAAAATGGATGTCCCAGAAAGGAAAAGCCAAAGATTCCACCAAGAAATATTCCAAAACTTCGAAGTGAATCCAGGGTCACCATGATGATCAGTAATGGTCTGCATAATGTCCGCAACTTTCCAATAGTCGACAAGAAATCTATCAAAATGAAGGAAAATACAGACAATGGGAAGGTTGATCTGACACAAAGGGGAGAAATCCCGAAATCAAGAGTCCGTTCAGAGGGAGAACACGATCTTGTGGGGGTTACAGGGTCAAGCTTAGGGAGGAGTGAAAGGTTAGCTGAACCTTTAGACATTTCTGACAATCCCAATACAAAGCAACAACAGAGATTTTTGGAGACAGATATTGACTCTATGCCTTTACCAGTAATGGGCTGTAAAACCCCACCTCGGAAGCGCAAGCCTTTGTCCAACCTACAAAGGTCTAAGTCCTTGGAGACTATTATTTGGTGATCATACTAAATGATAGCTTGTATTAAAAAAACTGGATGTAATGTTTTGCAGCACATTTGTAGAAATCCCAAAATTCATGTACATTTCTTTTAGATTAATATCCCATTGTTTTGTACGTTTTACATACACTGTTGTACTCAACTTATGTATACTCAGTTTGAACTTTAACCAGACGGACAAGTGTTGTATATTTATTAATCCCCCCCACTAAAGGAGTTGGGGGTATCTAGTGACTGGGGTACGTATCAGTCTCTTATTCTTGCCTATATGTCTGTTCGTTATATTTTGGGGTACCATAGACAAATTTACTATCACAGAATCTCATTTACAAACTGCCAAGAAATGCACTTTGCCATCATCACATTTGGGGAGATATATCTTTTTGTTAGCTTAGTGCTCACAATATATAATGTACATTGTATTTCATTTTAGGCAGTAAATATTTGTACCTCTGTATATTTTGATCTTTGTACTGGATTAATTATTATACCCCCGCAAACGAAGTTTAGGGGGGTATATTGGAATCACCATGTCCGTCTGTCTGTAGACAAGATTTTGTTCGGACCGTTTCTCAGAAACTGTTGGATGGATTTGTCTGAAAATTTATACACTTATTATTCACCATATGAAGATGTGCACCTGGTATTTTCATCATGATTGGATGATTTTTCTGCATTTTACAGATGTTTTTTCTTTTTTATTTTGTGATTTTGTTTGGCTCATAACTAGAAAACTATTAGACTTACAATCATCAAACTTGGACAATTTATGCATCTTGGGTAGAAGGTGTGTCACGACTTATTTCAAGGTCATTGTGACTTTTAATTTAAGTGATTTTTAAAAAAAAAACTAAGTCTTTAAAATTTTAAATTTCATAATCCTAAAAAATGTAAAAATATAGTTGTATCCTTATTAAAAAATGTTAAATTAAGTAAAAACTTATATTTTCATCATATACTTTACAGCAAATTCTGTAACAAATGTTAATGATTTGAGAGGAATTCAGTTTGTCCCATGGGCATAATTATCAAGCACTGGTCAAGGAGAATTGTTGATAGCAGAAATGTGCATGTCAAATTAGAGAGAAATTAATGAGTTCATTGTCGGGAGTTAACTGGCAAGAGCATCTCTAGATCTGATCATGCAGTGCTATCTTAATTTATCTCTTGGGAGTTGGGCAAAAAGAAATGGCCTAGTTGCTTGTGTTAAGAGTTCTTGATGGCTGTAGTCCAGATAAAGATCTTTCAATTGGTGTAATTTAATTAAAACAAATTGATGTTTTAGTGTATGATTAAAACTAAATTAGTATTGTATAATATAATTAAAACTGATTGTATATATGTTCATTGGAAAAAAAATTACATTTCAGTTTTTATATATTTGCAACAAATTGCAGTCATGTCTCACTTAGAATTTTATAGTGTAAAGAATAATTAATTTTTGATTTTTTTTTTTTTATTAGACTGTAGCATTTCCATTATTTCATAAAATATGCAATAAACAATTTAAAGCTGCTGTGGCGGGGCACTTTATTAGACAATAGTGAACACCTCTTACTAGATCCATAAAATATTTCTGAATTGGCACCTACTCTGAAAACCCAGCGGGGGTATTTGTCCCTATTGGACAGTTCTAGTTTTAAAACTGGTACATGTATTGTATTATTGAAGACCTTTTTTTTTTTAAGATTAGACAGATATGGATATAGAGTAATTTATACCAAGTTTTTAAATAAACTCAGTAATATTATACTAAAAACCTAAGAATTATAAATAGACTAGTACCATTTGTGTCAACTCTAGATAAAAAAAAAAAAAAAAATGAGTGTATACAGATATACCGGTAGTTCCGAGGCTTCACTGAGTTGAAATTATGTGCAAGAATTTTTTTTTTATTTTGTAGACTGGTGTTATAAGGATGCACATACATGTAAAATAAAATCATAAAAAAGAAAATGAAATCAGATAGATTGTGTTGTTTTACTGTTATTTTGAGTAGGTTTTACTTATTGCGTTTTGTAACACATTGAAAAAACTATCTAAAAATGTCCAAAATAGACTAATGTATAATTTTTATTAAATTTTGTGAAATATGAAGATAGTATGCTAGTGACTGGCCTTATGTTAGATCATGTTCAGGATGTAGCTCTTGGGGTTGTACCATATATGTAAGTTAAATCTTTGGTCAGTGATTACTGGTATTAGAATAGTTTCAAACTACAGTACATATGGACAGGAAAGCTATTACTATTTGAATCCTCGGTTGGGGTGTATTTTTTTTGTAAAGTCAGATTATTTTCATGCCAGTCATGGATAGATAATTGTTTTCAAGAGGATCAAGGACAGAACTTATTTTCATCATTGAAAAAAGTTTGACCAAAAAGAAAAAAAAAAAAGAAATAAAATAAAAGCTCAAATTCCAAAACTTTCTTGTGTGTGATTGTGTTTTGAGGGGGGTTAATTGTTGTACTTAAATAAGTCAATTACACATAATATTACATGTTAAGTAAAGATATATTTTCTTTCTACTCCAGGAAATTATGCCAAGTGCAGCTTGACATCTGGCATGTAAACCTTTAGCATAAATTTCAAAAATCTAAAGGGGGGGGGGGGTCCAATGTAGAAATAAACTGATGGTTCAGTACTGTAGTTGAATTCCAAGGTGAGTCCAAAGCATCCTTTTATCATATGTATTTTTTCTCATTTCACAAAAAGGACATTTAATTTTAAACCACAGTTCATTTGTTTTATTTAAACTGATCAAAATATTAATATTCAAAAAGATCCGCCTCTTATGCCAACCGGTTTAATCCAGTTTTAGATTATAGTCTCAAACATCGGAAGATATTTTTAAAATTTATTATAAAGCTTTGATTCATTTTTTAAATGTTCTAACTTGTTTATTTCCGATGTAGTATATAGATCCTAAAATGAAAAATAATTTTATGAACCAATCCTATGCAGTGCACTTGTTGAGCATAAAGTGCATTGTGTCACATCGTATCTTTTTTAAAATAGCACAATTATGCAATAAATTTTATCAATTCAAAAACTGTAAACAAAATGTCAAAACATTTTAATTAATTTTGGGAATGTTGAGCAATTTTACTGAAAGTCAAAACAAAAAGGACTTATGCGGATTCGAGACTAAATTCCGCAATGCATTGTGGTATAGCCAGTATATAACATTGGCGCTCGGCATTAACTCGACAAGGTCACAATGACGGGTAATAACGTCAACCAGACTGAACTGGACTTAAGTAATCTCCACAAGGAAATAACTGAAAAGTTACAGGTATGTATAATTTCATATGACATTTATTCAAAAGAACTCTTGCGCATCTATGTTGAAAACAACTCTTCTAACGTGCCCCCAGGTTTTCCTCACAAGTTTCACATTCTTTTCCATAACCATTTCTTGTTGATTTTATTGTATCAATCTACTTCATTTCCTCTGTGATCCTCATTTTGGAGGGATTTATATGTTTCCAAGACCATGTCAACAGAAATTCTGTGTTTTGATGGCGCATCATTTGTTATTTGATTTGCAAGGTGCGCGCTCGTCGATGCCTCAATCGGCAGGAAATTGCTAGGGGTTTGATCGCTGTTTATATAGTATGTCGACGACCATCACGTGGTTTGTGCAATGCGCGGAAGTTGATTGGCTGATTTTTTCCATGAAATGTGTAATATATCGGGGTTTTCCCTATAATTGTACGAACAGGCACGAGGAATCCTGTGTAAATCGTGCACGCACTAAAATCGTGATATTGTAAAGGTTATGCAGTTAGAGTGATCTGCCCTTTGCTAGCTGGCTGTAAGATAAAAGAAGCAAAATAGATATAAGAATTTTCAATTCAATTTCAAAATTCTATATAGGTTACTAACATGGAATTTTAGCAAATGAGCTGAATATATATATATATTTTTAAAATGAGATAAAGAAATTCAACACGTTAAAAAAAGTTGATGGGACTGTTTCCTAATAAATTCAAGTTGGAAAAATTATAACAATATATTTTGTAAAAATTCAAAGAAAGACAAACTCTTTAGTGCAAAAGTCATGTAGTTCTTAATAAAAAAAAAAGTCAGTGGAAATACTTATTATAATGCCCATTCAGAACCATATGGGCTTGCTTCTGGCATGTAATAAAAAAAAATATATTTAAGGTAATACAAAAACAACACTATATTTGATATTTTTTTTTTATGAATAATTATTACACACCAGGAGCAAGCCCTTGTGGCCTTATCAAATGATATACCAATAGTATATATGCATACTAAGCTAAATGTTTTAAATTAAATCACTTTAAGTCATCATATAAATGTTTATATAACATTTTTGAAGAAGTTTTCCCATTATATCACAAATATAATATTTTTATTCATATGCCCTGAAAAACTGCCGAATCACGCCGGAAACAGTTATGTTCCACCGGAAACAGTTATGTTGCCCTCCCGAACACAGTTATGTTCCCTCGCGTGCAATCATTCTGCATATTAATTACGTCGGGTTCGAAATTCACAGAGGCAGTTGCTAAGAGAACGTAAACAGTTCCGCGAACGTTAAAGAGTCGAGACAACGTCTGCGATTTGTTTATTTGAATTCAGAGGAATTAGATAATTTAATTGAGGAGAAAAATTCTTTAAATGCAACAAAGGTTATCAACACAAGTGTCAGCATACTTAAAACATTCTGCCATGAAACAGTACGGGATATTTCGGAATTATACTCAACGTACATATGTGTATATAGTGTTCAATAAATATGTTCGATGATCGATTTGGGTTCAATGCTTAAAAATGTTATATACCATATATTACATGGCTTAATTCTCGGGCAGCAATACCAGAATATTTGCCCCTCGGTGACAGGAAAGCCCTGGAGTGTTATGTCGCCCTCTGCCTGCGGCATCGGGCGACATAACACTCCAGGGCTTTCCTGTCACCTTGGGGCAAATATTCTGGTATGCTGCCCTCGAAGCCATGTAATATATGTATAATAATAAGAAAATGGATTGAATAATTTTTTTCTCATATAACCGTCATACCCAATCGATTGTACAATTAAATAGTGGTATTTTCATGTCTCAATAAAGATTATACAGTTTTATTTTTTCGTAATTTAAAAGAAAGGCCAGCATTTTTTTATTTTTAGGTTTACGAACATCAGAATGAAAAAGTCCTGTAGGAGGAGGAAATAAAAAAAATAATAAAATTATATTTTGGATACATTATCGACTTTTCTACATTAATTTTTGCTTCTTTTTTTATGCTCTCCTAACAGGCTTCTTGCCACTGGACACATAAGGGTTACAAAGGGGAAAATACAACCTTTAATTGTTTATTTCATCATCTACCAGTTGGGGGCAGTGATATAAATCTTTTGATGTTGCATGGACAAAATACAGATTTTTTAAAACAAAAAATCAGTTTTTTAAATCTCTTTTAATATATCTTCATTTTTGTTTTTAATGTGTGTTAGGTAGAAATTAATCTGAAATATTAATTTACTCTAGACCTATAAAAGTATTAATTCCTTTCATAAAACAGACAGGGAGTATTCCCAAGGAGTATTGAGGAGTAGGGAGGAATTTTTTTCAATTAAGTGTAAAATAATTTTTCTGGCCGCCATAAACGATACTATATGCCTGCATATATTTGTATATTCTTGTTTTTAAATAGTTGAAATATTTCATTTCTTTAGGCTATTGTTTATTTCTTCCTCAAATGGATTTAACTTCTCCCATAGTTTTATTCATTACATCCGATGCAAAAGCGACCCTTTTCTGAAGAATGATGCTAAGACTGTAAGCTATGACAGAAACATAAACAATGTCTCTGACAATAGCTACCATGGGCAGTTTTAAACCAGTGGGAGGAAAATAAATTACAATATACAGACACAGTTACTTTTGAATACGGATACATAATTATCTCACCAACATGTCACTTTGCAACAAAGTCGTCAGCATTTTATTGTTCTCTGAATGGGTGAAACGTTTTGAATGGCACTCCTACCGATAAATATTTACATTAAATCAAGCTTTAGTGCTGCTATGGACTTGACACAAATCTCCCTTCATTACCCGCCATGATCATTTAAAACCGGAAGTACGAGTTTGTAAATTTGAAATCTCGATCCCGACTCAAATTTGACATCGGAAAGAAAAAATTCTGTTTTTCTCAATTTTATTTTTTTTCTGAAAATGCAAAAACTTGAGCGGCGGGTTTGTAAACCTAAAAATAAAAAAATGCTGGCCAAATGGTGATGATATTTCATTTAATAGGTAAATGGAAGAGTGAAAAGAAAAACCAGACATCGGACAACCAAAAGTCCCCCGGATGGGAGCTCCCCACCCTCCCCCCAGTCTCCGAGAACAGGAAAATGTGGGCGGCCAGCTAATCCAATCCCGAGGCACAAGAGGGAGTCACACATCAAGGCTGAGCACAAACGCAGGGATAAAATTCAGGTTTGCAATGGCTCAGTTTGGGTTTTAATGTTACTTAGATGTAATTTTCTAATTCTTGTTACACACATATAAGTAGTAATGCATGGTAAGTATTATAGTAGAAGATCTTTTTATTCTTTTACAAGTCTTCTTCAGTTTGCTTTTGAGCATGATTTTGTATGTTATTTTTTCATGGGTATTGAATGTAGTACCACTTGCAAAAAAGAATGCCTGACCAAAATTGGCCAGTGTATCCAAAAATTAGACTTAAGGAAAAGTGTGCCCTATATCTCTTTTGTTTCCAAATAAGGTAAGGTATATTGATAGCCAAAAAAAATCATTTGTGGGTAAGTTTGTATGGGAAATTGGGTAAGAAATTTTATGGCATACTTTCCTTCCAACTAGCCCTAAATATGTGATAATGATGTAGAAGATTTGATTTTTAGAAATTTTATTGGCAAAACTCAGAAATTTAAAGTATTAATTAGTAATAAATGTTGACGTCTATCGATTTTTAGTATGAACCTTCTGCACAATCACATTCAAGGGCAAAGTTACATGCTTATATCTCTCCACAAAGAAATGCCTTCATTTAACATTCAATGCTTGCTTACAGATTAACATTTTATCAAAACGTTCAAAGTTAGAGAAGATATTTCTTTGTGATCTGAATCTGTATGATGTAATCAAGATGGATTTTGCAGTTTCAGGGTCATATATAAAATCAAAATATTGAACTTTTTGTTAATCCTGTTGGTTTGTTTTACAGAAAGGATTTGAAAGTTTAAGGTCATTGGTCCCCTCCCTGGAAGATGTGTCGGAGAAGGAAAGCAAAGCTGTTATGCTCTTTAAAAGTAGGTATCTGCACTTTGCAAGAGTTAAGGTTATTAGTTGTAAGGGGAAGTCACTCATGGGCACCTACTAGTGTTAGGGGTAGTTAGGAATCTTTAGATAACTTTGCTCTCTCAGGACTTGAATCATTTTGCTGCACAACTGTTAAAGGTATTTCAAAAATTATAAAATCAGTTCAGTGTTAATATTTAAAAAAAAAAAAAGACTTAGAAAAGCAGTGAAAATGATCACAGAAAACCAGAGAGAGGAATGTTTGGGGCGTTCTAGTGCTAAGTCTGTTTAGTTGGTCCCCTTTCGTGAGGGGGCACCTTACCCCAAATTTTGACTTGTCTCCCTCTTGTAGCTGCTGAATACTGTCGGCAACTTAAGGGCCAATGTAGGGGGCTCACCGATGAGACGGCTGCTTTGCGGCAAGAAATCCAGTCCTTGGGTACTCAAATTCAGTAAGTCAAAAACATTTTAAATGTTTGACCAAGCTCTGTATGAACACTATATGTATATGGTTGAGACTAATTATAGTATATGTATACTATATATCTATATATGCTTACATCCTAAGTCTCTCTTTATTTCTTCCAGATTCTAGATAACCATGCCAAGTTGTTGGATAAGAGATGAAATTTAATTGTTAACTTAAAAATAATGATTTTGAATTTACTTTGTTTTCTTTGTAGGAAAATCAAAAATAAATCTTAGCTTTGATTATTAGGTATTGTTAGATTTTTTTTCTTTCAAGAAAACACACAATGCTTAATGAATTTCTTATTTCAGGGAAAAAAGTATCAATTTATTTAATGATTTGTTTTATGTTTCAGAAAACTTGGGTAAGGTTATTGTATAATAAATGTTTATGTACTAGAATATGTAGTGTGCTTGATGTAAGATTAACGATTTTGTATCTTTTACAGGTAATAACCTTTTAGTCTTTCATTAGTTAAGTTATCCAACAACTTGGTTTTCATGAGATATTTTCCAGATAATTGTTTAAATGATTTACCAAAAATATTTAGAAAAAAAAGATGAAAAGATTGGAGTCAGTTGAATATCATTTTTGACAAATTTAGAGCAAAGAAGATTTATTAAGATAGATTATTTTAATGAATTACAATGTACTGGAAAAAATCTCTTTAAATTTGGCGAACGTGCTGACTCGGCAAACTTTTTGTAGAGGACATTTGGAAGATGGATCAGTCTTTAAATTCCTCTGCATTTCGTTGACTTTAACACTGACTGTTAACTCCCCCTCTTTAACTTTTTCAGTGACCTACAGAAGGAACTTCCAGTAACGGGAGTGGACACTGTTGAAGAACCTCCCAGTACGGACATCGACAAGCTGTATGAGGAATATGTGAGGGTTCAGACCAGGAAAAACTGGAAATTCTACCTTGTATCCTATTCATATTTCTGTGTTCTCTAAAGTCTTGATCGGAAGTCTTTTGCTTGAGAAAGCAATTACATTCATTTCTTTAATACTTATTTCTGCTTTGGATAAAGATTGCTTTGTTATTTATTGGAACTATTAAACCTCAGGTGGAAGGATTTTATGCAATCTGTTTAAAACTTAAATGGAAAACAATATTTTGAATAGAGTGTTCCTTAAGTCTTGGTCAGTTCAGTTTTATGATGAAGCCTCTCTTTGAGTCCTTCAAGGTCATGGTAACCACAACAACCTCTGACGAGTTTACCCAGTCTGTCAGTAACTGGGTCAAGGACAAACTCTCACTTCCAAACCTGAGGATAGGTATTGCTTTTATAACAAGGAAAATTTATTAAAGTAATTTCTATACATTGTGACAGATACATATGACAATCCCATATTGTAATTATCTACAAGAATAAAGTTTATTTTCAAAGGATTTGATTTCTTTTATAGAATTCTTTAACTGTTTGAGAAAAATCAGCAAAGAAACTAAGATAATGGATGCACCTGAACTCTTGCCATTGGAAGCTCAGTGGAGCTGTCCTGGTAAATCCATGACGTCAGATTCCCAAGTCTTAAAGATGGAAGATGATCATCCAGTCAGCACTCCTCCTCCAGCTACCACCAACCCTGCCCATGTGGAATCCCCATCCAATATGTGGATCAATTCCACCATGCCAACAAATGGCACATTGTCAACCATCTGCCATTTTGTAACTCAGAGCAATTCAATGATCTCCACCAGTTCTGTAGCTGAGAACTGTGTTATACCTCACAGCATAACAGACACTATCATGAGCAGTGACTCTCAGGATCTAAACCTGGGTCCTCTTGATGACATTCCCCTCCCGACCTGTGATACCGAGATGTCTATTGTGGACTCTTTACTGAACAATCTGGAGAGTTCTGATTCCCTCCAACAACTACTGTCTGATCAGCCTGTCTCCCTGAGTGACATCAGCCCCACCCCCATCACAGAGGCTTACACCCCCACCCCAATCACAGGGGCTTACACCCCCACCCCAATCACAGGGGCTTACTTCACTGACACCCAGTCACCTTTCACTCCCACTTTCACCTCCCATCTCGGACACCAGAGCTCTCATTATCCCCACTGACAGTGGATGACCATTGACTATATAAACTCCTACTCATATTAGGGGTATATTAATATGCCAGTTGTAAATGTTTTGAATTTTACATTTTAAATTTTCATTTTGAATTTTTGAAATTTTTTGGGGTTAGTTACCTGGGGTACTTGTATATTTTTTTCCCTTCTGAAAGTTGTTTAAAATTAGGTTGGTCAAAGCAGTTCAGCTTTTAAAAAATAAATGAAAACTCTAAATGAAAAGAAGTATACATTTTGAAGTTTCATACCAACTTTCCTGTTACTTTGTCTTGAATGCTTGATTTTTATTGGGCACTATATCTCGGTGATATGTTTTTTTTTGAACGTGTGATATTTATTTTGTATTTGCTAACTTATAAAGTGAAGTTTTATACAATTTATACACAAGCTTTCTTTAAACAGGATCGATATGGAATGTTGCATTTCATAATGATTCCCTCATTGTTTTTTTTACTTCTGTAGAAGTAATTTAATATATATGTTTATTCATGTACTTTGTACATACTGAATAAAGTATTGTGTTTTTTGTCTGCATTGTAAAACAGGCATTTTTAAGTCCTTCATCATGAAGGATTTTATGTAAATATTGTACATTTGTCCATGGCTTTATATTTAAAACGTTAATAAAGGCATGATTATTTTTTTTCACACATTTTTATTTGTTTAAAAGGGTATTTTTGATAAATAATGGCATGAATCTTATAAAGTATAAAAGTGTTGCAAAAACACAATGAGACCTTGGGAATACCAGCAATGGCAGCATTTGTTTTCACTAGGGAAATCGTTGTCTCAAGCCACAGTTCGCAGTCCGCATGTATAGCTCTCTCCAGAATGGGAGAGGATCGTACATTTTGGCCATGGTTTGTGACGATGTAGGGAAATGAGCATCCTTTGTTGACCATTTCATTGGGGGGACCTGTACAGCCTGATTGATTATTTAAAAATGAATCTTTAATATTGTTTAAACTATATTCAGTATAATATCTAAATGCAAGTCTGAAAAGGGAGTTGATGTATCCATTTGTCTTATTAGCTCACCTGGGTTTAAAGCTCGAGTGAGCTTTTCAGATCACTTGTCTGTCTGTTTGTAAACTATTCACATTTAAACTTTTCCTTAAGAATCCCTGGACCAATTTGAATCAGACTTGGTATAAAGAATCCTTAGCTGGAGAGGAGTTTAAATTGTAAAAATGAAGGGCCAATTTCCTCTTACAAGGGGATATAATCAAGAAAAGACAAAACTGGGGGGGGGGGGTCATTATAGGGGGGTGGTCATTAAATTTTTCTCAAGAAGAAATGGACCAGAATTGCAGAAAAGGTGAAAACTACGTCCTGGGGGTAGTGTACAATCATGACCCCTAATGGTAGGGCTGGCAACAGTAAGGAATCTAATCGCAAGTTTTTACGTTGAAATATATAGGAAAAATCTTGAGAATCACTGGGCCAGAAAAGCTGTAACTTAAATATGGAAGCATCTTGGGGTATAGTTTCAATTCTAAATTGTTCAAATCATGACCCCTGGAGGTAAGGTGGGATGACAGTAAGTGTCACAATGGGGGAAAATGTTCAAGAACAGCATGGCCAAAGTTACTCAGGTGAGTGATGTGGCCCATTGGCCTCTTGTAATCATTTTGAATTCAATAGTATGCATAGGATTCAATATTTAAACAATAAAATGCTTTCTTTGTTTGTTATTACTGGAATGAACGGAAGCAGCTGTTGCAGAAAAAATACATAACCCGCGTAAGCGGGTTATGTAAATTTTTTCTGCAATAGCTGCGACCGTTCATTCCAGTAATAACAAACAAAGAAAGACATTTTATTGTTTATATTTATATTTGTTTAAATTATTTTAAGTAGGATCAAAAATATTAATTATTGTGTTAATGATGCGAACGTCTTTGTACGTTTCATTGATGGAACGGCCACTGATCAGGAAATCTGTACAGGTGATATGCCTAATGTAGTTCATGCAGTGATGAACGCAATGGGTTTTCTTAAGAAATAAAGAAGAAAATATTCAGTGGATGTAAACATATCAATATGAATGAAATAGGTAAATGTTGTTAAATGATACAGAAAATATAATTATCATGTATTAAAGATCAAAGCAGGGCTTTTAGTCCACTACTTTTCAAGGGGGGGGAGGGGGGTCAACAATTTCGCTTGTTTCTGGAAGGGAGAGGGTGCAGTGTCGAGTGAGATCAATATGCATTTCATGGCTTTGTGGGAAATTTTCTTTCTCCAAAAATATCTTGAGAAAGGCAGGGAATCTACCTAGCTAATATAACCTCCAAATTCTATATGTGTTAATTGCCAATAAATGAATTGAGTCGAATATTGGGGAGGATGAAGGTTGACCCCCCTCCAAGCCAGAATACCATTAATCTATGTCAGATTTTTGTTTTATTCTCATCGAAGTTGAGAATAGACCAAATCACTGAATTATATTTACATCCACTGAATATTTTCTCCTTTGTTTCTTACGAAAACCCATAGCGTTAATCACTGCATGAACTACTTTAGGCATACGTCGCCTGTACAGATTTCTTGATCAGTGGCTGTGCCATCAATGAAACATATAAAGACGTTCGCATCATTAATACAATAATTAAACTTTTTAATCCCTCTTTAAATGATTATTTAAACAGATACAAACAATAAAATGTCTTTCTTTGTTTATTATTACTGGAATTAACGGTCGCAGCTATTGCAGAAAAAATTTACATAACCCGCTTACGCGGGTTATGTATTTTTTCTGCAACTGCTGCTTCCGTTAATTCCAGTAATAACAAACAAAGAAAGCATTTTATTGTTTAATTAAAATTTCAGTTCGAATATATCATTTTATAATATTTCCAAATTAATCTGCCACCCCAATCATCGAATCAAACGTCCTTCCCGGTGTAACCGTGAAAACTGTCGCTAGTGCTCAGTGTCGCTCTTAATAGAATATATAGGGAAAAAAGCGACACTGAGCACTGACTTATGCGCATGCCTAGGGATTTCGGTCGCTTCAAATCGAAGCGGTGTCCCACTGAATTTAATTCCATGGTAATGGTATCCAAAGTCGTTGATCTTTATGTTTTCTTTGTTTATTTTAATCTTAAAAGAAGGCAAGACAAATAAAATTTTAAAATCTTAGAACTTTTCATTTTTTTTTTTTACCTCGTATAGAATTATTAAATGATCTTTTAAATTTCTATATTATAGAGAATAAACGACTACACATTTAATCGCGGTAAATTGAACAGATACTTGTACTTAAAAAAAAGAAGAAAAAACATGCCACAGTACCTCAGTCATTTCTTAATAGGTGTGAACCACGCCGTGGGCGTTATCTCAGACAGGTGTCAAAAATTACCTGTATGTTAATAACTAACAAACACGGTTCCCCATGGTCGATTGATAATTTGATACCAATTAAAGGTGTGAACGGAGATGAACCCAGAACTGAAGTCTAGTAACAAACCTTAAATATCTGTATTTTATCAAAATATAAGTTGAAAATATATATATATATATAAGTTCTATCAACCAGTTTTTATTTAACAGATAAATAACGAGAAACACGCATAATTATGAAGAATGAGCGTCAGTGCTGAGTGTCGCTCTTCAAAATGGCAGTTTCCTATTTTCTCACACCTGACTTATATATCGTCTGTAAAACAGGTATACAGTAAAATTTCCAGCCGGTCTTAGTTGATATAGATGATTTAGGTATAATTTAAGAATTCTAGAAGAAAAAATCGTAGAAAATAATTATTTTGAAATAGTTATGAGCGTCAGTGCTGAGTGTCGCTCTTCAAAATGGCAGTTTCCTATTTTCTCACATCTGACTTATATATCGTCTGTAAAACAGGTATACAGTAAAATTTCCAGCCGGTCTTAGTTGATATAGATGATTTAGGTATAATTTAAGAATTCTAGAAGAAAAAATCGTAGAAAATAATTATTTTGAAATAGTTATGAGCGTCAGTGCTGAGTGTCGCTCTTCAAAATGGCAGTTTCCTATTTTCTCACACCTGACTTATATATCGTTTGTAAAACAGGTATACAGTAAAATTTCCAGCCGGTCTTAGTTGATATAGATGATTTAGGTATAATTTAAGAATTCTAGAAGAAAAAAATGTAGAAAATAATTATTTTGAAATAGTTATGAGCGTCAGTGCTGAGTGTCGCTCTTCAAAATGGCAGTTTCCTATTTTCTCACACCTGACTTATATATCGTCTGTAAAACAGGTATACAGTAAAATTTCCAGCCGGTCTTAGTTGATATAGATGATTTAGGTATAATTTAAGAATTCTAGAAGAAAAAATCGTAGAAAATAATTATTTTGAAATAGTTATGAGCGTCAGTGCTGAGTGTCGCTCTTCAAAATGGCAGTTTCCTATTTTCTCACACCTGACTTATATATCGTTTGTAAAACAGGTATACAGTAAAATTTCCAGCCGGTCTTAGTTGATATAGATGATTTAGGTATAATTTAAGAATTCTAGAAGAAAAAAATGTAGAAAATAATTATTTTGAAATAGTTATGAGCGTCAGTGCTGAGTGTCGCTCTTCAAAATGGCAGTTTCCTATTTTCTCACACCTGACTTATATATCGTCTGTAAAACAGGTATACAGTAAAATTTCCAGCCGGTCTTAGTTGATATAGATGATTTAGGTATAATTTAAGAATTCTAGAAGAAAAAATCGTAGAAAATAATTATTTTGAAATAGTTATGAGCGTCAGTGCTGAGTGTCGCTCTTCAAAATGGCAGTTTCCTATTTTCTCACACCTGACTTATATATCGTCTGTAAAACAGGTATACAGTAAAATTTCCAGCCGGTCTTAGTTGATATAGATGATTTAGGTATAATTTAAGAATTCTAGAAGAAAAAATCGTAGAAAATAATTATTTTGAAATAGTTATGAGCGTCAGTGCTGAGTGTCGCTCTTCAAAATGGCAGTTTCCTATTTTCTCACACCTGACTTATATATCGTCTGTAAAACAGGTATACAGTAAAATTTCCAGCCGGTCTTAGTTGATATAGATGATTTAGGTATAATTTAAGAATTCTAGAAGAAAAAATCGTAGAAAATAATTATTTTGAAATAGTTATGAGCGTCAGTGCTGAGTGTCGCTCTTCAAAATGGCAGTTTCCTATTTTCTCACACCTGACTTATATATCGTCTGTAAAACAGGTATACAGTAAAATTTCCAGCCGGTCTTAGTTGATATAGATGATTTAGGTATAATTTAAGAATTCTAGAAGAAAAAATCGTAGAAAATAATTATTTTGAAATAGTTATGAGCGTCAGTGCTGAGTGTCGCTCTTCAAAATGGCAGTTTCCTATTTTCTCACACCTGACTTATATATCGTCTGTAAAACAGGTATACAGTAAAATTTCCAGCCGGTCTTAGTTGATATAGATGATTTAGGTATAATTTAAGAATTCTAGAAGAAAAAATCGTAGAAAATAATTATTTTGAAATAGTTATGAGCGTCAGTGCTGAGTGTCGCTCTTCAAAATGGCAGTTTCCTATTTTCTCACACCTGACTTATATATCGTTTGTAAAACAGGTATACAGTAAAATTTCCAGCCGGTCTTAGTTGATATAGATGATTTAGGTATAATTTAAGAATTCTAGAAGAAAAA